TAATTAATGTTTTAAAGTTATGCATTTGGTTGTTTCATTTAAACTAAAAATTAATCTGTAAGTATTCTGACAATATAAAATGTTTCACAAAAATAAATGACAACTTGCCAAAGATACATTAATCTGTGTAACAGAAAAACTTGCAGTAGCATTCAAGTGATAAATACTCTCAACTTGAAAGTCTTACTGTTTATCCTTGGACCATCTTCACTGAGTTTGGCAAATGTATTAAATCAATTCTTCTTGCTAGCTATGGACATTGAGAGAATCAGAAAGAATGGGCCAACCTAGGGAAAAATATAAAGACATGTGAATAAGAAAAAGAAAATCAATATGTGTAAATTCCAATTGTAGACAACATAAGCTATTTTACAACAGAATAGTTTAAATCCTGTTCTTAGTTTTAAAGATATGCAATGTTTACATACTATTAATTTGATGATATAATCATGATACAGCATCAGATAGCATTAGTACCTTTCTATTACTTAGGCATCACAATCTCTTGGCAAATTATCAGGAACCCTTAGGAATTAGACCCTCCCAAGCTGWACATATTGAATAACGTACTATTGCCAGACACTATTTGCTCTATATTGATTTTCAAATGTTTCCAAATGCGAAACTTAAAAGTTTACATCTCCCATCTGTTATAAATGACAATACATGATCTCTATTTTACTCATCTATCAATGGAATATGGCATTTTAACTCTTTTCCTGTATGTTCAGATGGTCATAAATTCTTTGTAATAAAGAGTGATATTTTAAACATATAAATCTAAAATATGTGGCAACAAAAGGAAAATGTTTGCTCTCTTATTTTCTTTCCCATGCTTATTAGTGAAGAGGGAAAAACTCCTAGCAACATTATTTTGTGGTGCTTCTGCAGACAACCTTGTATCAGATTGAGTGAGTGTGATATACTTACTGAATGAGATTATGCTAAAGTGAATTTGATCCAAACATGTCCACATTTTAATAGAGATAACTAAGTTATAATGGTGTTTTACTATGTTTAGAGAATGTGAAAAACCTAGCATCAGAAGAATGATATTAATAGATGATCTTTCTTCTTCATGGAAGGCTGTGGCCATAAGATTCAACACACTGGAAAGAGTGCCAGCAGTTATTAGTTTTGATTATTTTAGTTTTTACTWTTATCTCTTACCACTGACCATTGAATTTTTGTTGCTTGTGAATATTTTCATAAACTACTGAGTTTTCTTCTGCTTGTTGTCTATGTAGGCCTAAGTAAATGGAGTCTATATGACTTTGTGTTATAACTTACAGTTAAAACAAAACAATTCCAGCTCTTTGAAGAAGAATCTTATTATGAAATCAAGATTTTAGAGTCAAATTTTGTTTTTAAATAAAAAGTCATGTTATAAGCCCTGATTTATTTCCCTCCCTCCTTTCCTTCTTTCCTTTCCTTCTTTTTCCAGAGATGTGTTTGTGTTTAAGGGGGAGAGGAAAAGGAAGAGCAAAAATAAAACAATAAAAAATTGAATGAAATATTCGATGGTTAGCAAAGATTCAAAGTAGAATAACATAAAACCTATTGATTGGTTGAAGAAATGAGGATATTTTAAAATATAACAGTTAATCTGTCAAAATATGTAACCAACATAAGTTTGCCAATATAGGCCTCTGTTGGGCAAATATTAAAACTTCAATAAATACTTGTTGGGGCTGGGGTTGTGGCTCAGTGGTACAGTGCTTGCCTAGCAGAGGCCCTGGTTTTGATCTTCAACATCACATAAAAATAATAAAATAATAAAGGTATTGTGTCTATCTACAACAAAAAAAATTAAAAATAAATACTTGTTTAATGTAGCTTTGTCCATTTAGAAAAGTATTATTTCCACAAAAGTTTACTGTCATATGTGTCAATAGGTATATATCTTGGGTGAAGGAAACATATCTCCTAAATAGTTGTCTTGTTTGTGGAAAATATTTGACTAGGTTTCTTAATTTAGAATAGTTTCTTTTCCATTTTTTTTTTAAATGAAGGCCTCTATGTGCTGCTTTACTTTAAAAATGGCAAAAATGAACTCTAGTTTAAAAATCACTACATGTCCCTTTAACAATTCTCCTGGGAACTGATACTTCTGAGTTGTTTCATATTCCCATCTTCTAAATGTGTTCCCTAAGGAGATTAGACAGTTGAAGCTTTCTGTCCATTTGTCTTTAAATTTGGCTTTCATTTGTATAAAATAACAATTGAGAATTAGCCAAAAATTACACAACATAAATTTATTCTAAGCAAAACATAATGTTTTGCATGAATTAAATATTTTTAACTTCATCTAGAAATGATGAAATATAAAAATCTCCAGCAATACTTTACTCATTTATATTCTAATTAAAACATTTTCTCTTAAATGGATCCTAGGTATTGATTTGTGACTTCTTGTTCATTTATAGCTCATAACACAACAAGATTTTTTTAAAATCATCAATCTTTATCATTTGTAAACATTTTATTTTGAATGGCAAATCTTGGTGTTTTAGCAAAATTTTATTAACATTAATGGAATATGATTTTCATGGATTTTCCCAAAATAACTGAGCTAAAAAAAAAAAGGCATTGTAGAAGGCTAAATTAATCCAATAGAAACATAATGCTATGTTGTGGGAATGCCGTTGTTYTAGCTATCATACATAAGAAATAAAAACCACATTCTGAATATTCCCATTAGAAAGATTTAGATTTATAAAAAGTAATTAATAGCAAACCTCACTACAGAATATTAAACAATGATTTAGGCTTACAGTTGAGAACCATCTCTTTCAATAAGAATTGTAGAAGCAATATCTTTGTTCTATGGCTTCAGATATTGAAGAATACAGTGCTTCATCAGAGTGATCCAAAGAAATTGAGATTTGGCTCAAAGGCCAAAAATGTTGATAATAAAGCCTGACTTACCTTCCACAGAAGTTTATTACATTCTTTTATTCTTTAAGCCCTTTCTCCTAAAGATTTGAAATTGGAAATGGTGTACCATAGTAGGAAGTCTGGAGTCATTAATGAAATAATTGACAGAATATATTATAATGATATTTTTATGTACTGAGCCAATTATAATACCAACATATCAAGTAGACAATAATAGGCATCTAATTTTCTTCTTCTTAATACTCATGCTGGGGAAGAAAATCTGCCTTTGAATCATTAAAAATTGAAAAAAATGATAGATTTGATTATTTGGTTGTCTAATTTTGGAGTGGAAAGCCACCTTCAGTCTTATACAATGTCCTTTCCCAGCTCCAGCACTCAATCCCATTACATCCCACTTCATCCCTCTTTGGTGCAGCTCCTGCTGCCACACTCCCTCCTCCTAGCACAAAACAAACTAAGTTAAGTCGCACCAGGGTGCCTTTTGTGAGGCCACTCAGAGCAGGAAGAAAGAAACAAAGAGCAAGATAGAGATGCAGAGGATATAAAGAAAACAAATAAGGCATGACAAAAGGATGGATAAAGGGGAAGGGGAAAAAAATCCTGGGGCCAAGATCATAAAAACACAAATGCGTTTAAAATTTGGCCAGTAATAATACTCATCACTGTCATCATCATCATCATCATCACCATCCTTCATTTTGACAGGTTGCTTTCAGAGAGCTGAAAAATTACTTTCGAATTAATAAGGGACAGTATTCCTTTTATAAGCTCTGTCTAGAACAAGGGAGGGGCTAATTAAAATATTAGCTAATTAAAGTCACCCCCATAATTACTGATTTTTCGAATTTTCAGGATGGTCATTTTTTCTCTCCAGGTATTGTATAATCTGTGCTTCATGTCAAAAGCGTTCTCATATACTGTTGGATTTCTACCCTTTGCCCACCTGGTCCCTTCTGGAATGGGACCTGTACTGGGCAGGAGAGGTCTAAGGAAGACCCCTCTGTTCTTCCCAGAAGGCCTGCGCACGACCTGCCATCGCTTCTCCGGAGGGTGGAGGTAAAACCAGCCTGCATTGCTACTCTCTAGCACTCTCCCCTCCCTTAATTCCTCCTCCACATTTCAGGCGCTTTTTTGCAGAGTGCCACCTGTTCCTGAGGCTTACCCTTTCTCTGCCTTCACATTGACACAGTGACTGTACTCTGMGACAACCTAGACAGGCAAGGCAGCACAGGGGCTGTGACAGCCCAGTGGGACTCTTTTGGAGGCAGTTTCATTAGGACCCTACAAAGCCCTTCTCACAGCACTGTCCACTCTAGATGAAGAATCCGACCCTCTACAGCTCTGTCCTACAGAACTGCAGGACTGTGTGTGTGTGTGTGTGTGGGGGGGGGATTTCATAGCAACATATCCTTCTTTAACTGTCCCTAGCTCGGCCCTCATCAGGTAAGCTGATCCCATTCGTACAATTCTGGCACAATTAGGACCAAGTCCCGCCAAAGGCTCTAACCTCTGGCACACGGGCAAATAGTGCCACCTGGYAGAAAGTCAATAGTGGTGCTTTAAAAATGCAACACAAACCCCTCCTACATTTGTTGTCAAATCACTTCACGATTCCTAGGCAGGCAGTGGATTCTGCGCCTGGGAAAAGGGTTGGGGGAATGCTGCTAGCGCGTGCAAAAATAAGCCCGGAAGACGCGAGCCAAGTGCTCAGCTGGAGCCTCTGCAGCCTGTGGCTGCCCGCCGGGCGGCTGGTTGTCCCCCGGGAGCCCCACGGGGCTGGGTCCGCTCCCCCTCTGCACGCCGGGCGGCGGGAGGAAACCCACGCCGACTTTGGGAGTTCCTTTCTGCCTTGTATGGAGGGCTGCTCCCGGCCCGTCTCCGCCCGACTGCTCTGACGCCCAGCCCTCCCGCTGCCCACCCCCAGCCACCTCCCTCTGACTTGCCGGGAGAAGCCAGACGGAGCCTCTCTCTTCCACAAGTCTCCCAGCCTGCCTGCCATTCCCCCATTCCTGCATTCACCCCCACCCCTCCCCAGCGCCGTCACCCCTCCTCCGCCCCCGCCCCCGCCTCCTCCTTTGCCTCGACAATCAGGGGAATAAATCAGGGAGGAAACCGAGAGGGAGAGCGAGAGCGCGCGAGCGCCAGCAAGCTTGCCGAGGACTGTTTCCAAAGTCGCCCTTGATGGCGGCGGAGGAGAGGGAGGCGAGGCAGCCGCGGCGCTGAGCAGCCGAGACACGATAGTGGGTCCTCCCGCCACCGCCCCTTCCCCGGCACCCGGCTTCGTGCTAGCGGTCCCCCGCGCCACTCCACGCCGCGGGCCCCGTGTGCGCCGGCCCTCCAGACGTCGGCGGTCTGCGAGAGCGTGCTCCTTTTCCGCCGCCCGTGGTTTCCAGCACCGCTCCTTCCCCCAGCTGGGGAGGGAGGGGGAATTGATCTTCGATCGCGAAGATGGCTGCTGGCTGCCTGCTGGCCTTGACTCTGACACTTTTCCAATCTTTGCTGATCGGTCCCTCGTCCGAGGAGCCGTTCCCTTCGGCCGTCACGTAAGTCGGCGGGCCCGGCAGGGCGGGGAGCGCGGCCCGGGTGATGCCGCGGGAGCTGGAGGCTGGGGTCGGTTCCCGAGTCACGGAGCTTTTCTGCCCGTGGGGGTGGGGAGCGAACGGCTGGCGAGCGGGGCTCGGATCTGGAGAGGCCGAGTGAGCCGGCTGAGTGCGCGGCTTGCGGCTGGAATGCGCTCCGAACTGGCGTCTCCCGACCCTGAGCGCGGCCGGGCGCCGGGGGCCGAGCTGTCCCGAGAAACGTTGGCCGCCGACTCCTGGCGTCTTAGTCCATCTCTAAAAGGATTCTAGAAACTCAGAGTTTAACTGGACTGGGAGAAAAGTTTCCAGTCATTCATCCGCTCTCATCAAACCCAGTTAAATAAAAAAGTTGTGTTTTGGTTGAGTATTTTACAAATAGTAAATTTCCGGCTTGCCAGGGTAGCTTGGACTTCTCCTGCACTTGGCCTCTGGGATGATCTCCAATTGCTATAGTGCCCAAACTCATTTAGATCCCAAATTCCTGGGCGCACTTGACAGCCTTTCAGATCCGAGGTGTGCTTGCTCCCCGCAGCAGAGCGTGCTGTCCACCCCGGGGCTCACAGGTACTGGGGCTGTGCAATCCAACCTCCCTGACCCTTCATTGGAAACATTTAAGTGCTGACTGATACTCGGTTTCCTGTTCTTAGAATGAAAAGAACTCCCATTCTTTTAGGGAGGGACTGTTTCTACAGTCTCCTGCATTTTCCCCCTATTTTTAACATTTCTAAAATAACTTTTAAATAAAAAAAACTCGTTGCTATTCTGGAGACAGAGTGTTGAAAGGTAACTCTAGTCACACGGCTGGAAGGGAGTGAATATAACAATTCTCTTCTCTCTTAGGATGCAATAAAGTATCAAATTCAGGGGGCACATATAAATATATACATATTTTTAAATGCTCTGAATAGCCTATCAAGCATTCTGGGAACGCATTTATTTTGGTTCTTGAAGCTACTTTAAAGCTTCTAAGAGTAGGTAATCTTAAGTGGATGAGTCACTTTAATGCATTTTACATAACAAAAACAAAGCCCAAGGTAGCCTTCCCGGTATTTATGCTGCTGGGAATTATTTGCTGTCCTTTGTTGGCTGAGTGCTGAATAGTGGAGTTTTTGGTGGTTACCAACAGTGCATCTTTACGGGCTGAAACCCTGAAGCTATTATTTAAAATTCAGCTTAAAGTATTTATTACCTTTGGTGTCAGTGCAGGAATCTAGAGGATGGACAGTCTAACCTGGAGAAGGAGAGTGTCTAATATTTTTTTGTCATTGATTTACAGTAATGTTCCTCTTTAGRTAATCTTCCATAAAAATGATTGCATATCTTTTTTGTTATGAAGGGAGAGGGTAAATGTCATCTGCAGATCTTCATTTAATTGGCAGAATGTTACAACTACATTTTTTTTAAACATAAGAAGTGTAGAATTTCCTTAAAATGCTTCAAAATCCTTCACTCTTATTAAGAAATCATATTTGTATTTGAAATTTTTTAGTCTTTTTGTAGCTTGGCCTATTAAGTGAGAACTCAAGTGACTCGTTTGCATTTTGTGTCAAATAAATAGTGACTTTTAAAAAGAGTTACATTCTAAACGTGTTCGAGATCATACGTTTTAAAAGTATTATTTGAAACTGACAATTTATCCATATTTCTATCCCTTGGGGGGAATGCATCATCACATTGGGGAAGATGATGGCTTTTCAAAATACAACAAATAAACCTTTTACTCCTGAACATACTGTGATAAAATATTAATGTAAAATCCTTATTGTAAGTAGAATATTTGCAGTAAATGCTTTCCTAAAGTTAAAATAACTCAATTTTTACTATCAGAAACTTACTAGGGACAAGAAAGAGATTAAATAGTGGGGAAAAATTAGAATTAGGGCACCACAATTTATTTTCTTTGAAAAGATTTGAATATTATTGAACAATGAAAGTATAGATATATTTAGATTGTATGAAGCATTATTTCCTAAACTGAGAACAGATTTTGTAGCTTAGAGCCACTCTGCTATTAGTAATATTAATATTTTGGAAGGCTTCTACATCTGCAATTATTTATTTGAAAGTCAGTAACATCATCTTCTGAGGAAAGGAGAAATAATAGTTGACATTTTTACTTCATGTTTGATTTCAGAATAAACTTTATGAAATTAAAAAAATGTAATATTAATTTCATCAAGATGTGGTGCCAATTGCTTTCATGCATAAAAATATATAAAAATATATCATGTGCAGTGTTTATCAGGATAAATCTCCAATCTTTTGGAAAAAATTCAGATTTGTAAAAACTGAAAACAAAGATTGTAGCAATTACTGAAAGCAAATGATTATGCTTCTCTTTGTAAATTTCTCTGGAAATATTAGTAAATTCTTAACAATTTTATATTTCAGAGAAAAAGTAATATGAGAAGGTTTTATCATCAAAAGAGGGAGAACATGCTGTTAACACACTATAAAATTAATTAGGCACTAATTGGAGTTGGACCTGAATTATAATTAGTAATTCGAAGTTTTTTTAGTAGAGTATTTACCATAGTATGAAGAGCTTAAGTTTTATTGTAATTAAACATAAATAATGTAGTATTTTAAATATCTAATTTTTTGTTCTTTGGTTTAACAAATATTCTGCTATAACATTATCCTGTATTAAAATAGTTGTTAAAGTATTCTAATAATTAACACAAAAATAATTTGAGTTTTTTTTTTTCAGAAAAAGAAATTTTTATACAATTCTTTCTCTGTGCTAGATGTTTCTTTTGGAAATATGTGTTCCAATAAAATGTGAAATAAATATGTGATGTGGTAGCAACCACCTAATGCATATTGGTTTGTGTTTCATTGGGTAATATATTGTTTTCATATTATAGAATGGAAATGTTATTTTAGTGTTTTAAAATGTAGTTTTCAAAAACAGTTGTTCCTTTTTTTTATAAATAATTCCTTGGAACATATATTAAGACACATATTCAGGATTACATGTATGATAGCCAGTATTGTAATGTTAATTTAAATCTCTCCTTAATTTTATAATATATTTGTAAATTCATTTTTAAAGTGTCATATATATATATATATATATATATATATATATATATATATATATTGTTCATATTAAACTTTTATCTCAGTCATATCCAGATGCCAGTCAACAGTAATTGGTTGAAAACCCTTTACTACATGGAGATTTTAATATAAACTGTATAATGGTGTAAATATATAATTAAGCATTAGAGATATCTATAGGAACTAACCATAAAATCTCATAAAAGAACAGTACTTTTGAGGATTTAATACTTATGATAAAAATATTTCTGTTAGTAGATAATTTTTGTATTTGAAAGATGGTAGAAAAGACATTTTTGTATATTGTGGTACYGGAATGGGTCTATCTCACTCATCAAAAATGACATAGTTATTCTACACACAAGGAAATGTGCCTTATGATTAAATGAGATAAAATATTAAATATAAAACCTAAAACAATGAACATTAGTAAATCCTTTGTTCAGGTCTTTAACTTGTTTTCACTAGCTTAACCACTTAACAATATTTATTAATCCACAGGTGTATGCTTAAAATATGCAACATTAGACACATTTTTCTATATAAGTAGTGACATAATGTTAAATTTGTTGTTATTAGGCATACGTATATATGTAGCTATTTGCATTGGCATTTCAATGGGCATTAGGTAGGCTGAAATGGATATAATTTAAAGAAAAGCATTTTGGAAAGATAAACTTCTGTGGCTCAAATAAAATCCACCTTTATTGTCTTTTTCATGGTTTCACTAATTTTAGTGTAATAAATACACATAAAGCCAGAATATAAAGCAAGTTCTTCATCTTGAAAATAGGTAAAAAGTTATCACTTTTTTTCTTCAAAGAAACCTGGCTGCTTAGACAGCTTTCTAGTATTTCTCCACCCTTGATAATAGTAAGGACGTACACATTATTTTTTTCAAAAACATTTTAAAATGCCAATTATGTATTATATTCAAATTTGATATTTTCTTTTAGGAGTGTAAATTCATAAGAAATGACAATGCATTTAGGAATTTAAAAAATAATTTTAAAAATTGTGCTAACATCAAACTATTATTTCATTTATATATTATCTGGAATATCATTATCTAAAATATCTATATGATATTTCACTTCTTTTCCCTATTTTTCAATACAGAGGCAAATTTCCATGACAGTAACCTGTTCTTAATTTACATCTCATTTCCTAGTATTTTCAAACTATAACTTTTAATATGGATAAAGTGAAATGTGGTTTTGGCAACTTAAGCAATTTGCTGATCTCCTTTGGTGTCTTATTATATATGTGGACATAAGTAGTTATAACCTAAACATACATAGAATTTTGAAAAATATCAGAATTTGATTCAGTATTTCTAAAACATAATATGTTCTTGTTTTTCAAGTGATAGTTTTCCATTATTCACATTAAAAGAGCTGTCCAAGTATCATTTCAACAAGCAGGTAAGTTGCTTGCTGTGGAAAACCGACTCATGCATCATATCCAGCCCACATTTGCTTAAGCTTAGTGTGCATCAGACACTGTGTCTGTGTGCATCAGACACTGTGTCACTCCGTGTGGGGATCAGACCTGCTTTTCATGGATTGTCTATGAGCAATACCACAAATCTTTTAAAGCCTTTCATACCTGTCTTTCCAGTGAACTTGGAACTTCACTGTGGTGGCTCAGCAGGTGGCTTACATATGATTCATTTGTGTGTGTGTGTGTGTGTGTGTGTGTGTGCAGGAAAACGTGAAGATGGTAGTGTCATATTGTTTATAGAATTGAAAGAAAAAGGGAGTTGACTTCAATGTCAGTTGAGTTGCATTTTGTGAGTAAAAGGGTGATCAACACACTATATTTTCCACCTTTTCCTTGAGTGTCCAAAAAGATTAATATTGCAAAAGTAATTTGTGTTGTTTACATAATTGTAGTATTCT